TGATACCAAGAACACAGCCATAAGCTCCAGTGCAACTGCCTTACATTAATCAATCATTATTTTATTGGGAGCACAACCAGATATAAACATTCAACAAATCAAAAGCAGAAAACAGAATTCTTTAGTTTAGAGTCATTGACTATACCTGCACTATCTTAGCTTCTGTGTCAGGATGTAGTACTGATGAGCTCTTTGCTTCTCCCTATTCAAGCACCAGAAAACCTAGAAACTTTAAGAGACCATGCAATGGTTAATATTGTAAGTGGCATTTAAATGAATATAAGAAAAAGGCACTTAATTGGGGGTGGGGGGGGAAACACCTTCTGAACATATTCAGCCGATGAGTCATGCAAAAGCCACTCTGATGCCACTCGAGAATAGTAACCAGAGATTTCTGTAAGAAAGAGCTGCTCAAAATCTTCATAATAGTTAACCCCTCTGTCGTCACTAATTTCCACAAAGATATCCAAGACATTCTTCAGCAAGAAACAGTTGATCTGTAATCCCTCTCGCTCCTGATTGATCTGCATGTAAAGATGAACTGAACCAAATTCCAAACTAAGATTTTGTGTATGCAAGCACACGGAAATTACCAAAGTTAATGTGGCCTCAATGAATCTACTGTATAACTTCTTGAAGACCTGAGATTTATATAGACCCAAAATATATATATAAGTACTCCAAAAAAAATTCATCAAGAAAGTACCTATAATTCAGCTCAAAGCGTCTCAAGAATAAACATTGTTACCTACTATTTCCCTGAAACAACTAAAAGAGATGTCATTTAGTGACTCGAGCTCAATATGTTGAGGGATAAAGAAGCGATCAAGGTATTCAAAGAATCTACATAACCATCTTGCCATCAGCTTATAATTAGACCACATGACTACGAATTCTCTCAACAAATTTTCACCTTGTTTATTGATTAAATTTGGCAGTACCTGGGAGCAAAACAGAAAGGGCATAAATACACACTCAATGCAACATCTGTCAACAGTTCCGTTACATTGATATAGCAGTTCTACACCTTCCCTAACTGTTTAGAAAGAAGAATGTATTGGGGAATACAAGCATTACAAAAGCAAGCCCAGAGAAAGCTAATACAATTGACTTCAGAATGCAACTAAACAAACTAAAGAAAAAACAACATAATACAAGAAGTTGAAATAACTGTATCACCATTGAAAAGATGCTCTCTTCCAAGCTGTTTCGGAATTTCTCGTAAAGCTGCATTGTTTTCTCGATAGTGCTATGGTAAGTGCACATGAAATAAACACATCTACAGAAATTGTCAAGGATGGCAATTTTGTCTGAACACTATCCTAAGTTGTGAAGGATGATATTGAAGAAGGCTAATTTAACTGAAGTAAATCCCTATATAAAACAAAGGATACTCATAGAACCTCTGGTATTCTTCTCCAGAGAACTTTGTTTTGGGGTTCCCTTTAAGAATCTTCTTTGCCTTCTCGATTTCCTCATCCATTATCGTCATCCCTTCATCTAGTGGTATGTACTTCAGAATCATGTTTTCGTTCTTTGCGCCTTAACTCTTAACTTCACAAATATCTGCACAACCAATGCCAAATTACACAAACCGATAGCAAAGGAAGTGGAAGTTTCAACAAATTTTGTATAATTCGCAATTACGCAAGCAACCAATATTGAAAATCAATGAACATGATAATTGGTCATCTCGCCAGACAAATGCAAGCGAAGGGCCTCACTGGCTTCACCTTAATGAGAGCTGTTGGTAATGCGATTTTAATGATTTTCGAAGACAATGCTTCATTGAGAAGCGTGAAGAACGATAAATCAAAGATTCTCGCAAAGTTGTTCTCCATAGTCGAAGCTTGGTCAAATAGTTTGGTAATGGAGTGTCGTCGAGTATAGTTAGTTTGCGAGGGTGTTCCTTTTCACGCATGGAATTGAGATACTTTCAAGAACATTGCTGATAAGTGGGGTTTATTACTAGCTATCAACGAAAGTTGTCAATCTCCATCATCCTTTGATCGGGCAAAAATTCAAGTCCTCACAAAGGCTGATGCGAGAATTGATGCGATGGTGGAATTGAAGGTTGGTGACAACTTCTTCAAGGTCCCGATGCATGAGATAGAACCTTCATTCAAACCAAACTCTTGGGCTCCTGAAGAAGACGAGTCTCGTTAGATCTTGTCTCTTCAATTGTGGTTGTTTTAGTCTATATGGTTGTAGGTGTTGCTTTTAATTTGTATTATGTTCTGTTGCGCTGTTTTATTCCTACTGCTGGTGGTGTAATTAGAAGTAAGGCGATTAGACTGTGGCTTTGGATGAGGTCATATGAGGTTAAGGTGTTTGTTGTAATGGTGTACATCACCATGAGAGGATATTCCGTGGTGTCTTTTGTATCGGGCATTTTATCAATAAAATTTGAGGTACTCTTTTCTTCCTTCCGATGTTCGTTAACATACCTTTAGTATGTGAACGAATACGAAGAGAGTTTTTAATGAGACCTCCAACTTCTATAAAAAAAAAAAAGAAAATCAATGAACACGGATCCTACTTCTTACTTTGTATTCATTGAAACAATAACATACGCAACAACAAAAGGTAACACATGAATCTCAATAATGCAAATCTTATTTACAAGAAAAATAAATGTCAATCAACTTTAGATGTGGTTACTGACGTCTGAAAATACCAGAACAACCCAAAAGCTTGAAAATGTAAACTGAATTTCTTTCCTTTTCCACTATTTTAGCTAAAGTCGTAACTATAGAGAAAAAAAGTTCTGAGGAATCACATAATAACAAACAAGTGAATCAACCCATAAATTTCATAGCATAAGATCAAAATTCCATCACTTCCAAAGAACAAAAAAAATCACAATAAAAAAGTTCAAGCAAGAAACACAAAAGATTTATGTCAAGGATTCAAGAATTAAAGAGTTCAATTCTTGAAAAGCAATATAGAAAATACACTATGCTCTTCTGAACTTTTGAGCAACCACAAGAACAAAAGAATGAATAGCCCATAAATTCAAGGCATACGATTTCGATCAAAAAGATTTCACTTCCCACATCTTATAAAACACTTAATTTGTGAACAGCAAAGTAACCGTCTAAAAAATACCAACAATAAGTCAAGGGAAAAAAACAAATAATGAATGAATATAATTACAAAATATCTTCACCAACCTCTTATACTAACAAAAAACTGGAAATACCCCCAAAAACTCTAACATTTAAAAAATTAAGCAACATAAAAAAGATTCACGTCAAAATACATGGACAGAGGTGTGGAATCTTAAAATGGAAATATGGAAAATACACTATGCTCTTCTATAAATAAGCAAAAAAAGGTGAAAAAACCCAGCAAAAACCCTTATTTAATTTCAAGCATCGAACAATTAAGACGTGAAAAGATCACTAGAAAATGATTCATAAAAAATTACCTGAATTTTTCAGTTTTTGTCGAGAGACATTTTGCTGGTACAAAGGAAAATGCCAGCTTTTTCTCACACAAATGGTTTTCTTTAGTAAAACTAGTAATTATAATTATTATATTTTATATTTTATACTAATACTGTCATATCAGAATAAAACACTTCAAGTGTATATATATATAAATAAACAAATTGTGTAAACTTTTACTATTTATGCATCAATCTTGAATTTTTTATTTTTATTTGAAGATTATATAAAAGTATTTTTATTTTATAATATTATTTATTATTGTTTTAAAAATATTTTAAATTTTTTATTGAATTAATATTTAAAATAATTCATAAATAGTTTAATAAAAAATTAATATTAATATATCTATAGCTAATCTTATATTTTAAAACAATTTATTAAATTAATTAAAACGAATTATGAAAATAGATGTCACATATTTATTATTATTAAAATTAAAAAAAAACAATTCGGTTACAGTTTCAGTTATAAAATGGGTAAGCTAGATGATTAGTCACTTAACTATGGGATGGATTTTATTTAGACCATTAAACTAAAAATTTAGTCAATGTGATCGCTTTGAAATTAAACATTTGATTATCATCATTTATAGATTTTATCAATTTAGTCCTAATTTATTTTAATTTAATAAATTTAATGTTTTAATCAAATTGTGACACATATCATCATGTAATACATATCACCTTCTAATTGAAAGAATTTTTCATAATATTAATATATTTAATTCATTAGGGTTGATATTAAACCAATAAACTTAGACATTATATAATTTAGGGATAAAGTGATATTTAATTTTTAAAATTGATATTTTTTGTTAATTTGATTTTTGAATAATTTTTAATCCATATTAATTCTTGGATTTAAATTTTGATCTTTCAATTATGTGGCATAATCTCATACGGTCACATTATAAAAAATGATTAAAGTGAGAATTGATAAATTTAAAGATTAACATAGAAAAAAATCAAGGACCAATTAAAAAAAATTTTGAATCCAGGGATTAAAACTTACTTTATCTCTATGATACAGTTGGTTCAACTCATAGAACATATATAATGATGAAATAATTCATATGAAATATATTGAATAAAGGAAAAATTTGTAATCCAGTTAGCTCTATTGGGATTTACGTTGAATAAAATACTTTTAACAAATTTAGTTTTTCATTAACATTATTTTTATAAAGCCTTAGAATAAACATTATTATTATTTTTGGTACAAAAATATTTAAGTCAGTGGTAGCTCTCTTAGAGCAAGATCAGTCAATTGAAATTTACATAGAAATTTATATATTGCTCACCGAGAGTGAAGGCGGTAGAATTCGAACATACAAATTCAAATTCCTAAATCTCAATCCTTTGAAATGCTAGCTAGAATAATCACCATGGCTTATAAAATAACCTGATTAACCCACTTTTATTATAAAAACCCTAAAATATAATACATTATTTATTTATTTTTCTTAAAACACAATTTATTTAATTAATTTAACTTATAGTAAAAGCTTTTGTAAGCACAAAGAATACTTTTCTTTTAACTCCTCCACCCTCTCTCTCGCTTTATATACCACCAACACACACTATACATACAAATACACTTGGATTTCTTCTTTTTCACCACTGCATGTGAAACAAAACAAAGCCTTAATACCTCTTCAACCCAGGTATTGTCTTAAACTCTTCAATCTCCTTCACATATTTTTAATTTATTTTATGGGAGATATTAGTTTCAAAACTCATAGACCAACCGCTTGTTTCTTTTGTGTAGTTTTTCCTGTTTATGTTCGTTTTATTTTTCGGTATACATAAATGTTTTGATTCAAAATAGCTATGAATCAATGCAAAACATAGCTACCCATTTGCCCAGGTTCCTTCTTTCACGTTTCAAAGCTTTTTGTTCTTTCCCAGGGGAAGATTAAGTGTATCATTTAAATTTCGGTTCTCTTTTTTTTTTTTGCTTTGTTCTTGTTATTTTCTTCCTATAGGATTATATCGGAAATTTGCTTATGATTGTTGGGTTACTTGTATTTACTCTCGATGTTATCGTTTTTTATTGTGTTTTCCCCTTTTCCCCTATGTCAAATGTTTTCTTTTGCACGACTTCTTGTTTTGGATGGTTTCCTGTTTCGGATTTCAACTCTCAAATGTTGTTTAGATTAGCTTTGAATGGTGAATTGTATGTGCAAAAAAGATCTGGGGATGGTGATCCTGTTGTAAGCTGCAGTGTCTTGATGTTTTCAACACTTTTTATGTGTTTCTCTAAAGTGGGTTTCTTTAGGTTTCTGCTTATGTTTCCTATATCTGCATTTTGTTTGTGTCTGGTTAATACGTGTTCGTGTTGAGATATACGAATGGAGGGAGCATTAATGGGGTTTTGATTAGTTGTTTCTCTTTCTTCTGGTTAAAGATTGAATCTTTAATCTGCTTGAATCCCTAGTAATCTCCGTTTTCTTCATTTGGCGGAGAACAAAACGATTCATCAACTATGCATCCCTTTGTTTGAACTATTTCTCAAATATTGTGTCTCTTGGCACTTTTGAAGAACCATCCTTCAATGCTTCGATTTATTTCACTTTCTTAGACAGTCATTCTTTCATATGAAACCCGAGTACTGATCTAAGTATCCACGTTCGACTCTAATGTTTTAAATTTCTTACCAGTATTCTTTCCGCAGATGGAAAATGTTATGTTGGATCCTAACTGCATCCTCATTGAAGAAACACCTCCTGAGCTGTTGCTTCCCCTAGATTCTCCTGATTTAAGTGATATATTCGGTGATCCACAATTGAGTCCGAGAGTTGGCAACAAATACCAGGTGGAAATTCCTCCAATGGTAAAAGGAACTGAGCATCTTTCGCTTTTGATGGACCCTTTTGACTCAGATGGCATTCCTTGTCTTGCTCATTCCTTTCTATTAGGCTTACCTCTTCCTGTCACGTGGACACATGACGAAGAAGATATCGATTACGAGGAGGAAGGCAAAGGAGGTTCATGTAAGCCCAATGATGGAACTAAGGTGGATGAGTCTGTCAAATTTCTGAAGTGCATAAAGGGACAGAGTTCCAAAAGGAAGAGAAATTCCGATCCAACTCTTTATGTCTCTGATGCTAGGTTGGTAAACGAAAAGGAATCGAATGCAGACAACCTTGAGTGTGGAATGTCGAACAAAACCAGCCTATTTCGACCGTTTGAAGTTAAAAACTCTCATCTAGTTCCTGGTGTGGTAGGTGATTCCTGGACCAATGCAGAAGTGGATGGTTTTCTTCTTGCTTTATATATATTCGGGAAGAATTTTGGGCAGATAAAGCCATTCATCGAGAACAAGGACATGGGGGATATATTGTCATTTTATTATGGGGCATTTTATAGGTCTGATGGATATTACAGATGGTCAGATAGCCAAAAGAGAAGTCGCCAAAAAATTGTATATGGGCGGAAAATCTTTACTGGCTGGAGGCAACAGGAATTGTTATCTCGTTTACTTGCCCATGTCCCAGATGAATTACAAAATAATTTGCAGGAGGTAAACCTTGTTTATCACTCAGATTTCATTTAGAAAGAAGCTCACAAGGGAATTACAAAATAATCTTACACTTATAACTTGTTTTGCTGTTTATTGATGTTGGACATTGGTTTTATATGTTAGTTTTTCAATATGTTCGACTAGGAATATAAGATTCTCGGGCTAATCGTTTACTGTGGCAGGTATCTAAGTCATTTTTGGATGGGAAAACTTCGCTTGAAAATTATGTCTGCCATTTGAAGACTAGTGTTGGATTATCTGCTCTTGTAGAAGCTGTAGGTATCGGGAAGGGGAAGACAGATCTTACAGGCCTGGCCATAGAGCCTCTGAAGGCAACTCAAGTTTCCCCTGAAATACCATTTGGGAAGGCTTGCTCATTTCTTACATCTAGTGACATCATCAGATTTTTAACTGGGGGCTTTCGATTGAGCAAAGGTCGTTGCAATGATATTTTTTGGGAAGCTGTTTGGCCACGTTTGCTTGCACGAGGGTGGCACTCTGAGCAGCCTAAGAATCGATGCTCTGCTGGTTCCAAACATTATCTAGTTTTCCTTATGCCGGGAGTGAAGAAGTTCTCGAGAAGGAAACTTGTTAAAGGAAATCACTACTTTGATTCTGTTAGTGATGTTTTGAGCAAAGTTGCATCTGAACCAACACTTATCGAGCTTGATTCTGAAGGAGATTGTATGAAGAGTTGCAATGAAGAAAATGCAGGGATTCCTGGGGAGTCATTGGATAAAGATGATCCTGCCTATCATAAGCCTTGTTATCTCAAGCCCCGAGTCTCCATTTACAATTCTAACCATATGAAGTTCACAGTCGTTGATTCCAGTTTGATCCATGGAGGAAAAGCATCCAAGATGAGAGAACTGAGATATTCACCAATTGAATTGATGTTTACTTCGAAACCAATTAACAAGAATGCTCGAGATTTAGAGCTGGTAAATGCTAATCATATGCTGTCAAAAGGTGATAAGTGTGTTACAGAGGCTCACCAATGTGAGGGTATAATGGCTAGCTCTACTGAACACCACATGAAATTTACCGTTGTGGATACCAGTTTGCTACACGGAGGAAAATCATCCCACGTAAGAGAACTCAGATGTTTACCGGTTAAGTTTGAAATTTCTTCCAAAATTGCAGACAGACTATCAAGTCGTTGTTCAGTTGCCACTGATGCAAAACCTAGTGGTGAGTCAATTGCTGCTGATAATGTTACGAAAAGTGAAGGTAAAGATGAAAAGGACATTTCAAATCAAGATCCGAGGAACTCATGTACTGTAGACCAGAATTTGGCGACTCACCAAGACAAGAAGACCGACACATCAGAAGATGCTAGGTCAAAGAGGATAATAAAACACCATTTCAGTCGAAGATCTAAATCGAGTCCTTCTGTTAGTTTGACTCCTGAAGAACGAAAGAAACTAACGAGTATTAACAAAGTGGCAAGCTGCCTGACCGAGAATTTAGCTGCTCTGTCTATTAATTTAGCTTCTCCAATGAAACAAAAAACATTACTTGCTTGTGCTAAGTCGGAAGGAAGTGATCTTGTGGAGAATATCTCTAGCACACCAATTGATCTAATTTCTCCCATGAAGAGACAGAGATTAAATGCTAGTACTAAGACCGAGGAAAGACATGTTTTCGAGAAGTCTTCTGCTGGCATCAATGAACAAATGGGGGTATGTCATGCCCTAAATTCTCAAGAAGGCAACAATGATGTCCTCCATGCGAGTCATTTTCAAGAGAAAGTATTGTTTCTTAATTCTTCTGCTGAAGGCAATCCAGAATCCACAGAGACTTCTCAAGGGCATAATGAGAAGCTTCCGTTCCCGTCATCAATAAGTTCAGACCCTCCCCTGTTTCCACTGGATGATCGGAAAGGTGGACCAGGAAGCACTGAAGCTGATGGCAGCCAATTCATCGTTTTGAATAATTATGCTGATCTGAAAACCACTACTAATGATTGCGTGGAAGAGCAGCAAGAAAGTGTGAATCCCCGGAGGCAAAGCAAAAGAAGCAGGCCATTGACCACTAGAGTGTTGGAAGCTCTCGAGAGTGGGTTCTTCAACTTAAAGAAGACGCAAAAAGTGAGAGACGTTCAAGCACCAGCAATCCAATTTTCAAGTCCTTCCCGAAGGGTACGCAGTAGAAAAGTATCAAAGCTTGCAGACGTTGTTGTTAAAACTGCAGATGCCAAGGAAGAAAAAGACCAAGATGGTGCATTTATTTGTTCTAAAGTTATCAGGAGCCAACCTCCTCAAGTGGCTGACTAATATTTTACGATCTTTGGGGTTTCGCAACATCATGAAGTTCTTATCGGTGACAAACTGATGTATCCATTTGCCGATGTTTTTCCGGTCCATCAGACCGATATTTGGCTGGTCCATCTCTGATGGATGCCTTCGACATCTATGATAAAGCAAGGGCTGAGCAGTGGTGCATATGCCTTCATTTTTCTGTCTACCTTCAGAAAAATGAAACATCAGCTTTTGGTTTATCATCAATAGAGGCCATTTCTGGACCTTCGAATAGCAGCGGATGAGAGTCGAGGAGGAGGGAAACCCTATTCAATGCACGCGCGTAGGGGAAGATTTCCCGAAACTTTTGTTCATTTTTGTATCTTTTACTGCCCATTTAAATCATGGAATGGAAGGTTCGTTTAACAGCTTGTGAATGTAGCTTTTTCGTGGTATTTTTATCCTTGTTCGGTTCTTCCACTCATGGATTTATGAAAGCTGTCTGAATTGTTCATCTTTAGTTAGTCATAAATTCAGTTATACTAGATAAGTCATGTGTGAGATTCTTTAACTACTTGATATGAATGAATTTTTTTTTTTAAAAATCAGAATTAAATTATAATTTTTATGGTACATTATTTTAAAACTTTGTTTTTGGAAAAATTAATTCACGATTTTATACTTTTTTAAGCAAAAATAGGAGATGAAATGTACGAATCAAACCATGTTAATATATAGTTTTCCTACGGCGCCAACAGCCAAACGCTTCCTTTAAAACCATGATAATGTATATTTTAATAATGTGAAAAAAAGGTTATTTTTTCGGGTTTTTAAACTTCACATAAATGTTATTATATGTATATAAATCTCAGATCAAAGAAAAAGGGGGAAATGGCAACTATGGAGGGGGCAAACTCTGGCCAAGCATACCCCGAACGATTCTACGCGGCGGCTTCTTTCGCCGGCTTCGATGGATCTCTCGATTCCAACAACAAAGACATCGGCTCCGGGTTCTCCAACGATGTGGCTTTGATCCTCTACGCCTTATACCAGCAGGTGATTTCACCTTTCTCATTTCTCTTTGTCTACCCTTTTCGTTGGATCCAGCCTTCTCAATGCTAAATCGATTTGATTTCATCCAAGGATTCCGTATATTAACTTGCTTTTGTATATGATTTGTATCTTCACTTTTGGAGTATTTTAAGTGTAATTATGGTAGATCTAGTTTTACGCTCTGAGTTGAAGGCAATTTGGATTTTGATCTCTCGAATAATCAAATAAGTGTTTGTTCATTAATTGGTTGAGATAAGAAGCTCATTTTTTAACGTTACTAATTCCATGCATTGTTATGGTAATTGTGTCATTTACAGGCTACTGTGGGTCCTTGCAATGTTCCAAAGCCTAGTTCATGGAGTCCCCTCGAACAAAGCAAATGGAAAAGGTCCGCAAGCTTATTTTCTGCCGTTTGTAGTTTCAATTTTGTTGTGCTTCTTGTTATTGGGGTTGATTTCATATACATGTTTATGTTTACCTTGGCTATGGTCGAGTAGTTTGATATGGTTATGCATAGTGTGCTAGTGTTTTGATCTATTTTCTTAAAACTGATTTGAATGATAAATGATAATATGTTGACTAGGGGAGATATTAATGGACATAGGTCAAATATGAGTGCCTATTTGAATGTTTTCTAGTTGCTTCAGTACATGGTGATGTTGCATCACTATTCTGCGTAGTTTATATTGTTCTATTTGAAAATAATGAATTCCTTCTATGTTAGTCTATTTTATCTGATTTGGATTGGTCTAATTTTCTGTCTTACATATATGCATGTGTAACACAGTGATTTAGATGCTTGAGAGCTACTTTTATATGTCAATTCATTGTGATCCATACTGTTTTCTTTTTTCTTCGTTTTTTATAATTTTCATTCTCACAAAGCTTTCTATTATTTATACAGCTGGCAGCAGCTAGGAAACATGGTTCCAACAGAAGCCATGCGTCTCTTTGTGAAAATATTGGAGGTAGAACTTTTCTGGATTTTTCCTATGTATATCAGTATATGAATCAATCTAGTTTGATATAATTATTTTTCTACATTTTTCCCTGTTCTTGATTCTTGTTCAGGAAGAAGAACCAGGATGGTATTCAAGGGCATCTAACTCTGTTTCGGAGCCTGTTATAGATGTACAAATGAATGTGAGTGAGCTGTTCTTTTCACTGTTTTGGTTGTGTAATTTTGTCATTTCTCGTGTTATGTTATTTCAAAGTTTTGATTGGGTGACTTTTTCATCTCAACGATATGTAACTCTATATCATTACTTTTTCTCAACTTTGAAGAAGTTGATCCACATAATTGTTCTTTTATACATAAAATTTGAATGAGATAAGCCAAATTGCACTATGGTTGTTTTGGTAGGTTGGTTGTTCTCTGAACTCACTTTTACTTTCTTAACTTGGTTGCATGTTCATAGCATAATTCGAATGTTGAGCCTATCATCGAGAACAGAAATTCTTTTTCTGAGACCAAGACTATTTCTGCTGAAAATGGAAGTCTGGTGGAAACTCGGGACAAAGATGTTGTATCAGAAGGCCTTGGTTCGATTGTTGTCTATGATAAATGGATTTTACCTCCAATAAGTGGTCAACGTCCCAAAGCTCGCTATCAGGTATTGGCATGTCTATCATTTAAAAGCCAAATACGATCTTTTTTATTCTTGCAATTTTCCTCATCTAAAGAATGTTTACTCTTTTTTTTAAGCATGGAGCTGCAGTTGTTCAGGATAAGATGTATATATATGGTGGAAACCACAATGGACGTTATCTAGGTGACCTTCATGTAAGTAAATCATTTACTAAACATGCAATACAAGTGCTTTATGCCATGAATTATATTTTTAATATTCTTATACAATTCAGATTACTTATGGACTTGGGCCTGAAGTGAAATATTATGAAATTTTAGTCACTTTCTTGGTCACTGCTGGCAAATTCTAACATAATTTTGTACTCTTATAAGCTTGAATTCTTGTTTGTATACTTATGCGTCAGTCTGACTCCACATTATCTTTATCCCTAATGTGAGGATTGATGCAGGTTCTGGATTTGAGAAATTGGACTTGGTCAAAGATTGATGCTATGATTGAACCTAAGTCGGTGGAATTATCGTATCCAGTAAATATAGCCCCATGTGCTGGTCATTCATTGGTTTGTAAAGAACTCAGTTTCGTTTTGTTTAACCTTGATTTCTCTAAAGCAAAATTCTCAAATAAAAAAATGCACATTTATTAAAATATGTTTGCTGAAAACTCTTGTATTCATGCTAATTTTCTTTCTATTCCTTCTATTTTTTCCCTTTAGATACCTTGGGAGAACAAGCTTCTTTCAATTGCTGGCCATACTAAAGACCCTTCTGAAACTATCCAGCGTACTTGATTCTGCCTCTAATCAGAATTTTATAAATTTAGGATGTCTTATTTTGTTGTTCTGTATTCTTATGGCAGTGAAGGCATTTGATCTGCAAACTGGTACATGGTCAATGTTGAATACTTACGGAAATGCACCGGTATTTATCTGATCTTCCTCTCAGTTACATCTCTTTCCCTCCATCAACTCATATAGTTTCAGCTCTAAATTTAGAAATTTTAGCAGGTTCATGGTTTGTTGTGCTCTTCACTAAGAATTAACCAGCGTTAAATTTTTTATGTCTCTGAATGGCCACTGATGGGTTCAACCTTTCTTGCTTAACTGAATATGGTATTTAAGAAACTGAAAACTGAATGCATGGTAATGTTGATCCTTGGGTAATGTTTTCCTGAAATCTAATAAACATATTCGTATACATGAATGAAGGCTGAAAATAAAATTTGTGAAGGAAAAAGGTCAATTGCGTGAGTGCTTGGTAGCTGCTTTTATTATTATTTTTTAATTTTCTTTTCCAATATATTACGAGTTCCCCCCCCCCTAATTTGAGTGTCTTGTAGGTCTCTCGCGGAGGTCAATCTGTGACTCTTGTTGGAAATACCTTAGTGATATTTGGTGGGCAGGACGCAAAGCGAACACTCCTGAATGATCTACATATACTTAACCTAGAAACAATGACCTGGGATAAAATTGATGCCGTGTAAGATTATTTTTGTCAGTTTTATTCCAGCACTATCCTTCATACATGTTATTGGATAACTGAATTCTTGTGTTAAACTTAAAGATGTGCTAGAACTCCTTCTGAAGCCTTTTAACATAGAGATTGTAATCGAAACCATATTTGATGCCTTCAAAATCTCAAGAGTTAGCTTTGAAAAAGGGTAATTTTGCGAAGCACAAGTGCCCTGATCCATTGTTATTGTTGACTTGAGATAGGTTTGCCTATCTTACTAGCCAAGAATCTGATGTTTGAATTCATTCTAGTTCATTAGATTAGCTCATGATCAAAATGGAATTCATAATTATATTAACTTCATTCCAGGTAATAGCTTCAATATTTACATTACCAAAAAATGTTAATGTGCATCATTCCAGTTAATAACCTTTTTTTTATTATTAATCCAGGTAATAACTTGAATTTATATATTGTAGCAGTAGGTTCAAGCTTAGTTTCCACTGAATTAGTGTGAAATCTAACCTGTCTAATACTAGATGGCATGATATAATCGATATATTGCACTTCTATTTTGAGCAATCCGTTGTATACAGATTGGAAGAGTTCCTTTTGAAATTTATGGTCCTTGCAAACTCTTAATTTTTTATCTTCATTATCATGCAGGGGGGTTCCTCCATTACCACGAGCTGATCATGCTGCAGCTGTACATGCAGAGCGTTACCTTCTTATTTTTGGTGGGAGTTCACATGCTACTTGCTTCAGTGACTTGCATGTCTTTGATTTGCAAGCTGTAAGATAACTACACATTGTATTTTTGCATGTTCTTGTCTTAGGAATTAGTATTTATATCTTTTATGCATTTGGATTTGTAGATGGAATGGTCAAGACCCACTCAACAAGGTGAGATACCAACTCCTAGGGCTGGTCATGCAGGTGTGACTGTTGGGGAGAACTGGTTTATTGTTGGCGGTGGAGACAATAGAAGTGGTAAATCTCTTACTTCAAACTCAAATACAAGATTATTCCTGTTCTTTGGACATAGATTTTCCGGGTTTATACGTAGTTTTAGCATTATTACAACTGTCGAGTGCGTGCATCTGATATGAACATAGGAAAATTCTTGTAGAATCTGTTTATCGTTTTTTTTTTGGATGTTGGGAGGGGGTGTGGTTTGCTGTTTTTTATTGCTACCTAAGCTTCATTTTTTATCCTATTCCTTTTTTTCGCAGGGGCATCGGAGACTGTTGTCCTCAACATGTCAACCCTTGCTTGGTCAGTTGTGGCATCAGTTGAAGAATGTGTTCCTCTTGCTAGTGAGGTATCTTACAGTTTGCCAATACTATTACCTGTAAAATGCTATGGCATGTGACAAATCTCTATTTGGCTTGATTGTTCAAATGTAGACTGCTTCAATTGTGTCAGAAATGCTTCAATGGAGATTAAACTTCTCCATGTGGAACAACAAGGAATGTTAGAAAGATGCATATAATCAAGTATACTTTGTACATATGATGATGTGCTTTCCTCTGTAGTTATCATTTCTCATAAATGAACTTCACAATCTTTCATTGGTTTCTGAACTTAACTCATAAAATAGGTATGTAATGCTCATGTGTTAGAAAAAAGGTCTTATAGCTGTGCTATGTCACCATCTACGAATAGCACATAACTTCCACAGCTGTGATTCAAATTTTAAATCTAATTTATTGTAGGGCTTGAGTCTGGTTGTGGGCTCCTTCAATGGTGAAGACATACTTGTATCTTTTGGAGGATATAATGGGTATTACAACAATGAGGTAGAGAAAATTTTAGCCTCTTTATGACTTGGATATTTTGGTTTTATTTGATCTTTTATGTGTTGCTACCAGGTTAATGTTCTCAAGCCAAGTCACAAGTCAACCTTGCAATCAAAGATGATGGTGACTCCTGTTCCTGATAGTGTTTCTGCAATCCCTAATGCAACAAATCCTACCAGAGATTTGGAGTCTGAGTTTGAAGTTGGCCACGAAGGAAAGATACGAGAAATTGTTATGGATAATGTTGACGTGGGGCATCAGGTGTGTACTATGTTGATGGTGCATTCAATATTCAGTCACACTTATGTTCGATTTGGCATACTCCCTAACATTGGCAGAGAACCTTAAAACCTTCGCTATCTAGTCTTGAGTTGCAAATTTATAGCAAATAGTTAGTTTATATATACTTTGGCAATAACTTTTTGAACATTTCTAATTGGAAAATTAAGAAGTACTGAAGCTTGAAGGTGTTTGGATTGTCTTATCCATTATGTTGTCAATTCATTTCTTCTGCTAAGTTTTAAATGTATGTGTAGAAAATTGAAGGCGACGAGACTACAGAGAGCATAATAGCAACACTCAAGGCAGAGAAGAAAGAACTAGAAGCGTTACTCAGTAAGGAGAAGTTACAGTCTCTCCAGTTAAAGCAAGAACTTGCCGAATCCAAAACGCAAAACACAGATTTGCACAAGGTAATTTCTTTGGTCATGGTAGTTTGACTGATTCGGTTATAAAGCTCGAAACATTGTAGTATGTTAGCTCAGACATTTTTCTCACTGTATCCTGTTGACAACTTGACATCTCAGGAGCTCCAATCTATACGTGGTCAACTTGCTGCTGAGCAGTCGAGATGTTTCAAATTAGAGGTATATTAAAACCAAGAGAACATTCTTTTTGCTTATCTTGTAATTTTATCGGGTTTCTCCCGTATTGAATGGGCATTCAAACTCTGATTTCAGCATAGTAAATTTTGAAATTTTGCTGTGGGGCAAAAAGCCCGTAACCGTTTTTCTAATATTCTCGATTCAACAGGTTGATATCGCAGAACATCGGCAGAAACTACTGTCGATGGAAACACTCAGAAAGGAACTTGATCTCCTACAACGGCAAAAAGCCGCATCGGAACAAGCTGCCTTGAACGCAAAGCGGAGACAAGGCTCCGGTGGTGTATGGGGTTGGATTGCAGGTAACCCTCCAGAAAATGCTGACAATATCTAAATTCATGGTAAGCTTAATTAAATAGTGATTTTCTAGGTTTATTTCCAGTGAATTGAAATTTTGAGTCAAATATATATAATTTCTTTTACATACTTAACCCGCTGGCTCGTTCAATGACGAGAATAAAATTATCTAAATGAATTATCACATAGATGAGAGTTTTAGTTTATATTATTTACAAACGGCTGTTATGATTGATCCAAAGAGAACTCCCGTTGATGAAATATCCTTCTTTTATATCAGTGGATTTATATATAAATCAAGAGTATCACTCTCTCTGTAGTCATTTAGTGGTTAAATTTTGTAAATATATTTTTTACAAAAATTGTTTCGTTTTATTCAAATCGTAACGGTGGTATAATCTAATAATTAGAATTTGAATCGACGATTACAAAATAGAATCAAATGATGAAAATATATCCAAATATAAATTAATCACACATAATACCCCAAAAATCCACCGATCGAATTTGAAATTTTGAAGTTTTTTATACCTCAACAACGTTAAATCAAACATATTAAAGTTGGAAATATAATATTCAGTAAATTTATAGTAATAAAATATTAATAAGTCAATTGGTCTGATGAAATGAATTATTAAATCTTCTAAATAAGAATAAAAGTTTGATTACGTAGAATAAATTAGATTGATTGAGAAAATAACACTTCGTGTAACCCCTAGACCTGGCCTATGCGTTTCGACTAAGTTTAGTGGATCACATTATAATTATTAAAGACATTTTTCGCAACCGTTATTTCATCAATATAAAATCACATTATAAATAACATGAAATTATAAACAATTTATACTATCAAAATCCAACTCGTAAATATAGTACAAATAAATAATAATTTAATTTAAAACATGTCTTCAAATTCAAATTCACAATAAACCGAGCAGTATTAGCAAAAGTGTTATCATTATAAAATTCGATATTTTAAAATAAGGTTCATGTCACCAAAATAAAGTCAACTTGCCAGATAAAAACATTACAATCTGATTTACTTCAAGAGATATGTTGATCCTTCAAGTGCTCGAACCAAGGTATCTACCCAACAGTATCTGAAAGGGGGAAAACATTTTCAAAAGGTGAGCTAGGCTCAGTGTGTCCCAACATTTCCATAAAATCACAATAGGTACAAATCATAGTCCAGTAATCTCACAAATTCGTAAAAGAGTTTAACTTTTTGAAAATCATAGTTTAAACCCTTTTCTGGTACACCATCAGTAGTTCCCAAAATTATTTTCCATATAGCTTACTTTATGCACATAGCAAAAAGAAAGCCGACTTAAGGATAGGCTCTGAAGCTTGTATCCTTAAGCCCAAGTCAATAAGTCCATATAGCTTACCCTAAGCACACATCAAAGGAAAGCCGACCTAATGAAACATCTTGGGGCCCTCAAGAGTCACATTAGGCCCAGTTAGCTTGATCAGAGCTATTCCATCGTAATTCAATTCCAAAAATTCAATTGCACCGTGACATAAATTCCATAAATCCAAAAACATGGTAATCATATACCATTTCAAAACAAAAATTAGATAGCAGCCATATTCCATAAATTGTCACATTAAATTGGTGCATCCATAAAACAATAACCAATGAATTCGGTGTACCACATATTAAAACCAATAAAACAGTTCAATAATAAGTAGGGAACACACCTCGACAATAGATTCAAATAACAAATCTACTGATTGCTGGTTTCACCACGCTCTGCTACAGTTTTCGAACGGGTGAATACTGGCACACGTGGTTTAACTGATCTAGAAGAGCTGGGTCGAGCTGTCGAACGATCCGGAGAGTCTCTTGTACCTTCAAACAATAATATTTATCAGTCTCAAATCCTATTTAATTGTTCAAAGCTAAACTTCTTAAGTATATACGCATTTTTCGGGTTTAACTATCAATTTGAGGTATTTCGAGTCTGAATTTGGCCAAACGGATTGCGGAATCGGAATCAGGGCGTCGAAAAACATAAAGTATGACTTTTCGAAAATTCAAATTCTTGGTCAAAGTCAAAGTCAACCACTTTGACCGTAGATTTGGAGACCTTCGGATTCGAATTTGACAAAACGGACCACGGAAACGGATTCGGCACGTCGAAAACTATCAGGATAGGTATACTCGGAAAAGATTAACGGTCGTTTAATGCTCGTTCAAAGCCATTTTAAGTTTTGGTCAAAGAAAGTCAACGATCAACGGGTCAACGGTCGGGTCGGGTCGGGTCAACGGTCGGGTCGGGTCAGACCGCTCAAACCATTTCAGACCGGTCAAACCGGTTCGAACCGATTGAAACCGGTCAGAACCGGTTGAAAACCGGTTAAACCGGTTTCCAGCAGCCACTCGCCCTGCGGCGGCGCGTGTGGCGCGTGAGGCGTCCTCCGGGGCCCTAAAAATCCCGGAAAAATTTCTAAAAATTATTTTGAGCGATTTCAAGATACTTACAACGATCGGTTCAAATTTTTGAACGGCGGAGAGCTCGATTTCAAATCGGCCGAATCTTTGACTGCACCACCTCCTCACGCGCCGTCGTCTACGGCGGACAAGGTTGACACCGGTGAACTCGGAACGGCACAAGGAACACGATGGTGCGGGAGGTGTCGTAAACGGAGCAACGATCAGAGGTGAATTTAAGATTTCCTCGGCGATAGAGCTAACAAAACCGTCGCTACTTTGACTGGAAATTCCCGACGTTTGGTCGCGTTTCGCTTCAATTAATTTGAAGGGTTTGTTCCTCGCTCGATGATGAACACAACGGTGGTTTTAAAACGATTATCGGAATTTGGACGGCGTCGGAATCGGAGTTGGAAACTGCGTATGGGAAAGGAAAATTGAGAGCATTTTGGTTCTGAAAATCAGAACCAAATGTACGCTTATAATCAAAGTTGCCGACAGTTTTAGGGTAAATTCAAGGCTTGGTCCTTGGATTTCCTTCACTTCTAAAATGGCCTATAAACTCTCATAAATTTTGATTTAGTCACCAACAATTTACCAATTTTCACAATTAACCTCCAATTTCAATTAAATATTATTTTGTAAATATTCGGGTTGTTACAATTCTCCCTCTCTACAAGAAATTTCGTCCTCGAAATTTACCTTATGAGAATAGTTGAGGAAACTGAGCCTCCATTGACTCCAATGTATCCCATGTAGCTTCTGAGGGGCCTCGATTACTCCACTGAACTTTGACCATTGGAATTCGTCTATTCCGAAGAACTCGTTCATCTCTCTCCAAGATCTGAATGGGCTCCTCTTCATATGACAAATCAGGTCTCAACTCTACTTCTTCAACCTGAATAATGTGACATGGATCTGGACGGTATCTCCTCAACATTGATACATGAAAGACATCATGAATACGACTTAGCTCAGAAGGCAACTCAAGCTGATATGCAACAGGTCCTACCCTCTTCAAGATACGAAATGGTCCAATAAATCTTGGACTCAATTTACCCTTACGCCCGAATCTCAATACTTTCTTCCAGGGTGAAACTTTCAAAAAGACCCGATCTCCCACTTCAAACTGTATATCATTCCTTCTTTGATCTGCATAAGATTTCTGCCTATCAAATGCCTCTTTCAGACGGTCACGGATTAATCTGACTGTGTCCTCCGTCTCTCGCACTAACTCAGGTCCCAACGTTTTCCTATCACGCAACTCAGTCCAACAGATCGGAGTGCGACATTTACGCCCATAGAGCGCTTCATAGGGTGCCATACAAATGCTGATCTGATAACTGTTATTGTAAGCAAATTCAGCCAACGGCAAAAAGTTCTCCCAACTACCATGAAAATCGATTACGCAACCCCGCAACATATCCTCCAGAATCTGAATTACTCTCTCAGATTGACCATCAGTTTGTGGATGAAAGGATGTACTATAATCTAATCTTGTTCCCAAAGCCGTATGTAACGCCTTCCAAAATCTCGAAGTAAATCTCAGATCTCGATCAGAAATAATAGACAATGGAACACCATGCAATCTGACAATCCCTGAAATATACAATCTTGCCAGCTTATCCAAAGTATAATTTACTCGCACCGGAATGAAGTGAGATGACTTTGTAAGTCTATCAACAATCACCCAAACTGAATCTTTTTTCGAAGGAGTCATCGGTAAGCCAGTAACAAAATCCATAGTAATACGCTCCCACTTCCATTCAGGAATCTTGATAGGCTGTAACAAACCTGATGGATGTTGATGTTCTGCCTTAACTTGCTGACAAGTCAAACACCTAGCCACAAAGTCAGATATGTCTTTCTTCATACCAATCCAATAATACCTCTCTCTCAAATTCCGGTACATCTTATCTCCTCCGGGGTGCATAGCATATGGACTACTATGAGCCTCAGTAAGGATAGTCTGCCTCAACTCATCATCATCAGGCACACAATATCTACCTTTAGAGCATAAAACTTCATCCTGATCAATTGGGTAATCTGTGTTTGTCCCCTGCTCTACTTGCTCAAAGATGGAAAGCAAGGAGCTATCAAGGGGCTGCTTAGCTTTGATCTCATCAACCAAGGTCGGCTTAACTTGCAATTCTGCTAACAAAGTGCCATCGTCATATAAATTCATCTTGGCCATTAAAGACCTCAACTCTGATACCGTCTTTCGACTCAAAGCATCTGCTACAATGTTAGCTTTACCAGGGTGGTAATTAATCACGCAATCATAATCCTTTAGGAGCTCTAACCAGCGACGCTGTCTCAAATTAAGTTCCTTCTGGGTCAGAAGATACTTTAAGCTCTTATGATCTGTGAAAATGTAACACTTCTCTCCATAAAGATAGTGTCTCCAAATCTTCAAGGCAAAAATTACTACTGCCAACTCTAAATCATGAGTAGGATAGTTACTCTCATGCGGCCGCAGCTGACGAGATGCATAAGCCACCACCTTACTTTCCTGCATTAAAACACAACCAAGTCCTGAATGTGAAGCATTACTATACACTGTAAAATCCTTCCCGGACTCTGGTTGAATCAACACCGGTGCTTGAGTCAAAACTGCCTTTAATTTCTCAAAGCTCTCCTGTTGTGCCTCGCCCCAGTCAAACAACACATTCTTCCTTAACAACTTTGTCAAAGGAGAAGCAATGATCGAGAAGCCCTCAACAAAATGTCGATAATAACC